ACAAAAGCAAAGTACATAAATTTTAAATGCGCCAATAAGAAGGTACAACAAACAATTTTAGAAAATGTTGCCACTAACACTTTTCCAAACAGAACATTCGGTTGGAGTTCTGATCTACCGTTACTTCAACCAAAACCCTTTACAAATTACTTACACAGCATATAATTAAGAAACTATCTTATACACGTCAGTCAACCTGAAAATGAAATTAATTTTAGTATCCTGTTAATTAATCGACTGCAGTTTATCACATTACCTCATCAAGGAAATCAATTAATCAAAAATTAATTCCTATACTATTAATATTTATCATATCGAGCTATACAAACGTTTTTGCTTTCATGTCGATCTTAATAACAGTACTTTAGCTATTTACTATAAAATATAAAAAGGTATATGTATAACAGATTTGATAGCTATAGGTTACAGCTTACGATCATTAATCTTTGTAAATAATAGCTTCTTATCTACACTTTTTTTCAAAATTGGAATACTTTTAGCCTAATATACCGGAAGTTTGAAACGAAAAAGAATTACTCACTATATACTGAACAGACCTAAAAAGCTCACGATTCCATCTGCCTTTAACGATTAGTTAATAAATAAGGAGAATAACAGTCATGCAGTTGGTGACAATGTAAATAAATACGTATAAATAATTGAGCAGCCCGCGGGTACATTAATACAATGGCCTGGGAATTAGTATTTGCCTACCTGCCCATTATCACATTATTTATTACATCTTTGCCCTGCCCCCTTCTTAATTCAGAGTGTATGCTTCGTATGTATTAATGGTAAAATTTTGAGATCGGCCTCTTTGAGAGTTGGTTAATTGTTCATTCCTTTTACAAGAAAGCGGCGACAGACGGGTAAATTACTATAGGTACCTTATTTAAATTTACCCAAGAGAGATCAAGTACCACGTAAAAAGGTAATGTTTTATTTATTCAATAAAATTAGATTGTCCGAATAAATCTGAATCTTAAGCCATAAATTTGGTACAGCTGGACGAACGCTTAAGAGACATTTACAAGACAATCGTGGCCGTTTTACAATGCTAATGTGATAGGGAATATAAAGAACGAAAGTGCATTTGCGAAACCTACGAAATTTGCAATTCTTACATTATATTTTTGTCATATTCCGATCGTTTCGCCTCACATTTAGCGGGAGTTGATTAACCTTACTCAGCTCCAACAAAATCCGTCGTGATTGTTGCAATACTTACCCCATGGTCGATCATTCATTCTGCAGTACAATCTTTTCGCGTGATCGTACGTCTTCTCTACTACAAGGTTACTGTTCAACTCTCTTTGGCAATTTGTTACAGGGTAATCTGACATATATTCTTTTCCAGATACACTCCGCTACACGGTTGACCACCTTTCCAATCGCACCTTTTCTTGTTCTCAATGAAATAACTATTCTCATTTATTAAATCCAATTCACCTATTTGCTTACAAGTTTTATTAATAATAATTGGAGGCCTCTAAAGGATATCTAACATGCAGAAATACTGTTACCTCACTTTGTGGATGTTGAGAGCATTAAAAAATTTGCTACTTTCAGGACACGTTCAGAAATATATCAGAATGTCACTCTGGGAAATGGTCTTTGTTGCGTCAAAAAGCTCTTGTCCTTTAAAAGAAGAGGGCGAATTAATACTTTAAAATTTCAACTCCGTTAAGTAATTATTAGGAGGGTTTTGTTTTGCTATGTTAATTTCAAACGAGCATTAAAACCGGCAATAAGGTCGTGCAGTTTAAGAAAAATATCAACTTGATAACCGATTTCCCCGTTTACATTCCAAGGAACAAAAGAGCATTGCTGGACTGCCGAATTTGAAGATTTCATTCCGACTATTTGGATAAGTACAATTAACTGTTATTAGTTGAATTAGTTACAGATAACAGCCTCCGATTAAGTCGAAATTAAACCCGTTAGATACATCTAACAAAAAAACTTGAATTCCGTATTTTTAAAACGTCTGGAATGGACGTGATTAATTTTCGAGGGTTATCATAATAATAATAATAATAAACTTTATTATCCCAAGAGTGATAACACCAATTATAGGTCAATATTAGTGACAAACAGTCCGAGACTATAGCAGTATTAACATACTTAAGTGACAGTTATCGCAAGGACACGCCGTCGAGCAAGGTAAACCGTTGTTCCCTCCATGGTACCTATAGCCGAATTTTATAAAAGGTAAAACCATTGTCTAGAGGAGATCTTTTTGCCTTCTGCATCTTTTCAAGCTACGTTTTGCAAGTACCATAATTGTTGAGCTTTTCCGTAATTTAGTTTAATTACAAAGTAAGCTTATTTTTACTTTCTGTTACTTTCCATTAATTATAAGGAGGGGCTTTCGGGTATTTGCTTTCCTGTAGATTAGTAGATACCGCTACCGAAGCCGATTATTTATTGTTTATTGTGCGCTTTAATTTTGTTTTAGGCATTTACCAGTAGCCGGCCGCCGCTTGCCGTTTAATCCTGTTGACTTTGGCCGAGGCTCCCGAGACCGATCTCCCACACCGCTACCACCGACCTTGACCAGGGGCGAGGCAGTACCCTTGGACGCGCTTAGATCCGTCCGTCCATCCGTTCCGTCGACAGAATACATAGGCTGCCGTCGACTGCCACTACTTTCTTCCGCTCACATGATTTAGTGATTATAATTTGTACATTTACATATTTAATAATAATAATAATAATAATAATAATAATAATAATAATAATAATAATGAAGAGACCTTTGTGCCTGCTTCTCAACCGCTTGTGGATGGGACCAGCGCAAAGGATACCTCCAAAAGACGTATGAAATGGGACGAAGGGATGAATCGCTTCATTTTCGGTACGTATCTGGAGATCACGAAGATGGAAACGGACAGGACAGCATACAGAGGTAAACTATATCACGCGTTCATTACACAATACCCACATTTAGCACACTTGACAGAACAACGCATTGCAGACCAACGTAGAGTTATCCTTAAAAATACACTCCTTACATTAGACACACAGGAACAAATCAGGCACGAAATTGAAGCACTACTCAACACAAACAACACACTCATCGTACAAGTACAACAAATGATACAACATATACTACAATCAGAGATTCACCTCTGAAGCAAACCACATTATCACAACCCATTAGTATTCAACCCAAACGCAAAAGCCTAAACAGCACTTTAGACTCGCAACATGACACACAACATACTGTAATATCTCCACCCTTAACTCAACCAACCACACAAACACAACTTCCTGAACAAACAAACGCAATAAATACAAGTAACGAAACACGCACTACAAAGACGCCCTCACCCACACGACCTAGCACAGCTGAAAAACACAATACTCTTTCTTCTCAGAAACACACCACGTTATCACAAACACAACCCACTCGTACTCAACCCAAACGCAACAACCTTAACAGCACTACAGGCTCACAAAATACTGTAATGTCTCCACCAATAACCCATGCAACAACAGAAATACAACTTCAAGAACAAAGAAACACCATAAATACAAGTAACGCAACATGCACTACAAAGACAGGTCCATCCAATAAAGTTACACGCCCTAGCACATTTAAAAAAACACAAAACTCCTTCTTCACAGAAACACACCACATTTTCACAACCCACTCGTATTCAACCGAAACGCAAAAACCTTAACAGAACTACAGGCTCACAACATACTAAAATATCTCCACCTAAAACCCAAGCAACTTCACAAATACAACCTCAAGAACAAAGAAACATCATAAATACAAGTAACGCAATATGCACTACAAAGACATGTCCACCCAATAAAGTTACACGCCCTAGCACAATTAAAAAACACATAACTCCTTCTTCACCGAAGCACACCACGTTATCACAACCCACTCGTATTCAACCCAAACGCAGAAACCTATACAGCACTACTAGCTCACAAAATACTGTAATATCTCCATCAATAACCCAAGCAACCTCACAAATACAACCTCAAGAGCAAAGAAACACCATAAACACAAGTAACGCAACATGTACTACAAAGACAGGTCCATCCAATAAAGTTACACGCCCTAGCACAGTTAAAAAACACAATACTCCTTCTTCTCAGAAACAACCCACTAGTATACAACCGAAACGCAAAAACCTTAACAGCACCACAGGCTCACAAAATACTGCAATATCTCCACCAAAAACCCAAGCAACCTCACAAATACGACCTCAGGAACAAAGAAACACCATAAATACAATTAAAAAACACAAAACTCCTTCTTCACAAAAACACACCACGTTATCACAACCCACTCGTATTCAACCCAAACGCAAAGCCAAAGAAACACTTACACAATAAACTCCATTTAATAAAATTACAGGAATTATTATAATGATTTTTTTGTTGTTTTGTTTTCCTCTTTCCTGATAGCGTTGGCTATTGTGCCCATCAATAGGTATGTTGGTAAGTACGAATTACATTATCCCTAGATGTCCAATGTACGTGTGTGATTTTTATTTTTATTTTTTTTTTATTTTTTTATTTTTTTTTTTTAAGGACCCTACATAACTTCACCAGACACAGACACAGACACTAATCGTTACTTGATTTTAATCCGTGCGATTAGTTAACCAGGCTAGACCTGAGTTCTCACAAGAAACACCGATAATAATAATAATAACAATATAATAATATATTTATTTTATTTTTTATTTTTCTTTAGAACCCTACATAACTTCACCAGACACAGACACTAATCGTTACTTGATTTTAATCCGTGCGATTAGTTAACCAGGCTAGACCTGAGTTCTCACAAGAAACACCAACCATAATAATATTTATTGAAAAAGATGCGGGTTTTATTTTTCCAATTTTCCGTCTATATATGAAAAAAATTGAAAACTAATACGGTTGATTGGCGCAAAAAATGTTTTTCTACAAAAATCTTTAATACATTTTTTCTCTAAAATAATTTGGGGAACCAATAATCGCATGTTATGAATTTTACATTGAAATCCCTATGATGCGTTACGCCAGTCACCACCCTGTATATTTTTCTTAGTTTTCTTTATGTCTACAAATTGCTTACAATTATTTTTTCATATTTACTTTAGCTCTCAATAGAATTTTTCATTCATCATTCCTACAAATTGCAATGCAATTTTTATTTATATAATTCTTTAAAAACATAATTTTTAACCACATTACTTTTTCGCTGACTTCCTAAATAAATCTTTAAACTTTCCCAAGACCGAACTCTAGAGAGAGCAACATATAATTGACCATGAGTAAATACATCTTTTCTAAGATCAATCCCTATTTGATCAAATGTTTGACCTTGTGATTTGTTTATAGTCATAGCAAAGGCTATCTTAATAGGAAATTGTCTTCTTTTAAAAGTAAAGGGGTACACATTTTCACAATATAATGTTATACGATGTATAAAAACAATATCTCCAGATTTATCTCCTGTGAATATCTTACACTTTATGACATTGTCTCCCAACTCTAAAACTGATAGCCTCGTGCCATTACATAATCCTTCGTTGACGTTGAGATTCCTTATCAGCATCACAATACAATTTTTCCTTAATTTTAGTTCGTGAGGAGAAAAATTAGGTGGGTTTAACGTATTTAAATATTCAGGTAAAATTCCTTCGTTAATATCTCCATTATCACAACCTTCAACACTATCCATGCTTGTATATATTTTTTCATTACTTACATCTAGTAATTCCACGACTTTATTATTAATTTCTTCTACATCAACATTTCTTGCTGAAAGAATAGCTGATTTAGTTAGATCTGCAAATCGTTTTTCTCTGATCATTGTACCAAATGTATTTTCAACGATATCAAAATTATAAATACATTTTGGTGGCAATTCCAAGTTACAATCTTTATCATTTAAATACCCATCCCCAACATCAAGTAAAAATTTAGAAAATTCTTGTTCATTGGGTAGAGCTCGCATATTTTCTGTTAGGGAAAATTGACGGAAATATTGCCAAAGGGGACTACATTTAATACTTAAGTTCACAATTTCAGAGCGAGTAGCATTTACTTTGACGGGTAATAGCTGTCTAAAATCCCCTCCTAACACCATTATTTTCCCACCAAAAGGCACATTGCAGTCAGTAATATCTCTCAAAGTTCTATCTATTACATCTAATGCGTACCTTGGTGCTACCGGAGCTTCGTCCCATATAAAAACATCAACATCCTTGAGATATTCTGCTTGCTTTGAATTATTCTTGATGCTTGTAGTTGAATCACAAAATAAAGGAACAGGTAAACCAAATGTCTTATGTACTGTTCTGCCTTTAGGGAGCAAAGTTGCTGCTATGCCTGTGTACGCCATTGTGCAAATATTTTTATTCTTTTTCTTCAGTAAACTGTACAGAGTTGTATAAACGTATGTTTTACCAGAGCCTCCTGGACCATCAATATAAAAACATGGAGGTTCAGAAACAATTGATTCATTTATGTCATCATCACATTGATCCAAAATAATATCAACAATTTGTTTCTGCTTTTCATTCAGATGTTCATATTGTCGTGATGCTGCTTCTATTGCTTGTTCATCATTTGAAACATCATCTGCATATTCAGTGTCATTTACTTGTTGCATGGAAGGATACATTGAAATGTTATAACCCTCTGCAGAAAGCATGGAACTAATTTGAATGTAGGCTTTTTGTTGTCCTTCAATACTGCCGTAACGTCTTTCATAGTCTTGTGACATTGCTTCTTTAAATTCTTCCCATAACTCTTCCGGATGAACTGGTTGGCAGTGCATTAAAATACGAGCAAATAAACATCTTAACTGTTTTGGCATCATCCAAATTTCAGCCTCATTCATAGCCCTTTTCCATTCATGATCATCTTCAATAAGTCCCAATATTACGCATGTTGTTACGTAAGAATCTTGTACCTCTCGATTTATTGTTTTAAGATCTTCAAAGCTCTTAGCTCCTTTCCTATGTAGTAATAATAATCGTAAATGGAATAGTTCAACTTGACTGGGGCTTACAGAGTACATGCGTCCAATAACACTGAATTGTTTCTGACGTCGTTGCCAATTATATTCACCAGTAACATCTTTTTTAAATACATAATGACTTGGTATGTCTCCATATAAATGCTGTGAAGCTTGAGAATCTCGCGCATTCAACGCAAAATAATCAATCAGCATTGTTTGTTTCTCTAAAGCATTTCTTATTTCATTTTCATCACAATCATCTCTGACTACAACATTCTGTTGATTTGGTAAATGCACTGGTAATCTTGTAATTGAATGACTTTTCCCTTGTAAAGGTATACCTATAATTCTCCAAGCAGCTTCCACTGGTCCAACATACCTCGTTTCGATGAAATCACGAATTTCATCGTGATCAATAATTCCATTGTTTGTTTCGCCAATAGTTATTCCTGCAGCATCGTGACCTTTGTATATGTATTTATATAAATATTTAACAGATTTTACACTGGACACCACTTCAACATTAATGTGAGCATTGAATAATTTTAACAAAGTTGAATTATATGGCACAACATACTGATTATTAAATATATATCCGTCAAAGCGTTTGAAAGAAAGTCCAGTATTTCTACGACGATAACTGGGATAACCGTATTCGTCTAAAGTTGTCCGTTCATTAAAATGCTTTGGAAAATGTTTAGAACAGGCGTTCTGCTCTGTTAAACACCAATTTCCACATGGACCGTGTATCATATTTCTTGAAACAATATCGTATAATATTGGTTGTTCTTCAGGTTTTGGGATTTCCGCAGTTATATATCGATCAACTACTTCGGGAGTTGTTATTTTTTCAGATTGCTTTAAGCTTACTAACATGTGCATATGTGGTAACCCGCGTTTTTGAAACTCAATCACATAAACATACGCTTGTACAGCTCCAAAAAAACCTTTATTTACAATTAAATCTATTAAGGTTTTGTGTTTTATATTGAATACTCTTGCCACTACATCAGGTCTATCAGCAGCAGTTTGTCCATCCATCAAATTCTCTCTGATCTCTTTCCACTTGGGGTTACAAGTCATTGTAATGAAAAGATCTGGTTTGCCATATTTACGTACAATTGCCATGGCATCTTGATAATTTTGCAACATATTTCGAGGAGATCCTTGAAATGTTGATGGTAAAATTACCATTTTTCCAATACTTTGGTGATTACGTTGAGATCTCTTTTCTAAATGATCTATCAAACCTTGGTAAGATTCCGCCCGTAATTTCTTTTGATTGTCTTTACAAAACTGTATTCTATCTTTTTCAATTTTCACATAACTATCAACTAACCATTGCTGAAATAATCGACGTCCCATTAAGAATGGATTAAATTCATCACGAACTGCCATTCTATATTTCGTATACATAGCTCGACTGACTCGTCTATTTTTCTTAGTACAAGATATTGCCGAATGCCAGCCGCGAGTACCATATGGATAAAACAAAGGATAAATCCATGGCTCCACATTAGCATCCATAGTACTAACATATTGTAAAGATTTATCACTTTTATTTCTTACTGTTACATAGGACTCTGGAATATCACCATCAGCTGTTGTGGAAAAAACTGCAGCGACTTCATTAACCCTTTGGAAATTGTAACGATTCTTATCCATACCAGGCTTCAATGTAAATAAAAGATGTAATTCAGATTCGTCATTTACAATATTGCAATTTGACCTCTGATTTTCCAGCTCCTCAGCCATCATTTGGTATGACTGAGCGTACACATTATGTTCACGCATAACATTCTCAATTAATTTCACAATTTCTGAATCACACTTTGAATTACAACTTAAACGAAATTCTACTGCCTCATCACTGTCAACAATAAAAAGCTGACCATAACTTGGGGCCTCATTAGAAGATGGGTAAAGTGCTGTATTTATCTGATAATATATTTGTCCCTGTATTTTAAAACAAAATGGACCTTTACGTGTCGAATTGAAATGCACAAGATTAGCATTAAATGATGCAAATGCAAATGAGCTGTTATAGCTTCGAATGTGTTCAAAAAAATTTTTGGACTTTAGATGAGAACCGTTGAATAATGATTGTAAAATTGTAGGAAATACAGGTAAAGGTTGTAATAATACTTCACCGTGATTACAACATTCATTGAATGAATTACCTTTATTAGCAACTCTTTCAGAGGGAAAATGTTTTGCACTACAATGCATACAGGTAACAGACATAGCACCAATATAATGTTCGAGTATTTCATTACCGAGCTCATTATCTATTGCAAGTAAAGAAGTATCAATATAACCTTTTTGTCTTGATCGATAATTCATTTGACAGTGTTTCGGCAAAATGCTGTTACGTATGTTAACTTGAATCTCGTCATGAACTCTAGATCTAATCTCGGAATGAGAGGTTTGTTTGCTAGTTCGCATAGTTTCTCTCCGTTGGCGTTCTGCTTCAGTCCTCTTTTTTCGCCTAAGTTTAATTAACTCCACTTCTTCCTCAGAACTCAACTCAACCTTTCTCCGAGGCATAATGATAAACTACTAATAATGTAATGATACAGAATATTTAGAGCCAATTTCACAAAATACACAGAAATGAACGATTCAAATTAACCACTACTAAATGTTCAGTTCAGTAAGTACGTCTTAATCTTAATTTTATAGAATCTCAAAGAATCTGAAAAGAATCTATATGGTCGCAATAATCTGGGTTTCTATTAAATGATTCTAATTCTTAGTCTTAAATTTTCTGTGGGATCTCAGTCTAATTTTCTATAGAAATTACAAAATTTGTGCGTACTCACCTGTTCTCCTCGAGTTACAAGTCTTTGTTAATTGTTATAGGTTATAGCTGGAACAAAATATGATAAGATGCAAGACTTTTAAAGTTAGACTCACCTCCTCAGCCGCAAAAACAAAACACAAAGGCAAAGTAACAAAATTTTTACCAATTTAACTGAAACTGATACCTGACTACCAACTACCACATGAGTAAACTTTAGTGAACACATGGAGTGAACAGGAAACGGGCAAAATTGACATTAAAGCGCTTGCGCGTTGCTGAGGGAGTCACGGTGCACAAAACAACTGACCGAAACAGAACATCTGCGGAGCACGACAGAATCGTACGATCATATACTTATTTCTGTTATTTTGCTGCAAAAAGTTTCAAATGGACACACGTTACTGATTCTGCATTTTATGTTCGGAATCACAGAATATATTGTTAAGCTGCAAAACGTTTAAAATGGCCAGATAAATGTGTGTTTTCGCCCGCTACTGATCTTAATTTCTTCTACATACCACATACGTATAGGCAACCCAAAAGGCATAACTTGCCACAACCTTGAACTATTCATCTCAATTTTATGTTTGGATACATAAAATAGCTATAAAGTTCTTCCACGTTCTTTTAAAAACCTGTTGATAATGATATACTTTCGTTTGTTTATGCGTGGTTTATTCTTGGGACTGACTGCTTATTATTTTCAATGAACGCCAAACCTTGCACAATATTGACATAAAAGGGCCAACTGTTTTTAGTGTTTTAGGAATAAATTAAAAGAACATTTATAACAAAAGAATTTTTATTAGTTGCAATGAAATATTTAAGGAATAATAAAAAAGTTGAGACAGTGACATCATCTCATTTCAGTTTAATTTCTTTAAACGCCACTTCTAAATGGCGCATTATTACAACCCGAGCGGCTCCTCTTGTGACTTAATTATAGCACAATATAACAGTATCTCTAGCTTGGTATGCATCATTTGAATCTTACGTAGGTATCTTTGTTCCTTTTTTTAATACGGGCGTGTTCAGGTTCATAAAGTTAGGTAACTACAATTCACTTTTATTACAGCTCTTATGACAATAAAACTCATAAATAAATCCTATGCAGGCTTATGACGCGGTATTAAAATTACGTAAATTACTAATCTTAAAATATAGCATTAGCCCTCTATAATCCCTTCGGTACGCAATATTAACCTTTAAGGGAGATATCCTACATTCTTAAAACGGTCTGGGTACATTCTTCTCATTTATTATTTAAGCAACAGTGGCATGAGAAAATTTTAATCTGCTTTCAAATTCTTCGATGTTTATGTATTAATTTGATTGTGTATTATTTTCAAAATAAGGAATGCTCCCCCAAGTTTTGATAATAAACAAACTCTTCATTTTACATCCACAACCAGAGCGGTATTATAAGCATGACGTTATTAAATATGCCACATATTTTTATGCTTGGAAAAGCATAATGGCCGTATTTTATTTAAATTGTTGTGTGATTTTTTATTCTAAGCGAAAAGTTTTGTTTTCATTTTTTAATGGGAGAATGTAAAACGGAAATATGTCAGTGTGAATTATAGTACTCGTTTGGCGTACAAACAATTCATGGTATAAAACAAGATTAAAAATTTAGATAATTATTGTGATATAATAAAACCGCTTCCCTGTCGTGTCTATAATCTAACGCAAATATTGTACCATAATAAATTCTTCACGTAACGATGTAGTCTGGAATGAAGTCATTAAAGGTTTAAGAATCTGTGTAATGTGTTTGACATTATTTGAATACATTGTGGTAGATAATACAGATCTTTAGTTTCGTCTTCATTGCGTAGTCAAGGATTATGAACTGTACTGCAGCAACGTATTGAGTTCACAACATTTTTCAAAAGTCATAATTAAATTATGAAGGAATCAGTTTCATTTATCAGTGGTTTTGAGTCAGGATTTGGTTGGTGGCGTAAATTCACAATCATGAAACGTTTTTGACTATATACTGTAATGGAACCGAATTATCCCGCTAAAATTCTATTTAAATATTCCCGAATCCGAGCCTGGCGCGACGAAAAAGGTCAAGATTGCGCTTTGTTTCTTCTCTGCTCTGCTGTTTAAATTAAAGAAATTAGAGGAGACGAGATGGACACAGCCATCTTGACAAGCAAAGTGAAATGTGCTAACTAAATACGACAGGTTAAGTAACTGAAGGGAAGGGGCAAAAGCGGGAAACTTGAAACATTTGAAAATTAAAAAGGGGAAAAAAGGGCCGGATTGGTTATGGGACGAAAAAAGAAGAAAGGTGAAAAGAATGTAACTTAGCTTACATTAGGCTATTGTTTTTAGAAAATATTTAAATTTAATGGGCCAAAATACCCTGTCTCTACTGAAGGTAGTCGTCGGGACTCGCGGACTGAATAGAAGCCCAAAAGTAACAACCCTGATCTGCTGAAGGCAGAAAAAGGGCAACGTAAACTTAAACTAAAAACGAAGGGCTGACAAGCGTATCGGGGTCGGAAACTACTTGGTAAGAAAAAGCAAATTTTTATTTAAGTGAAGGATTTCATTAAGGGAGTGTTGAGGATTCGTCCTATAGTGGAGGTAAATCTCTTTCATTTCAAGAAAGTCCAATTTTAGACTTTTGTTACAAGCATGCAAAATTTTGAAGTCCTCTTTAGAAAACGAGTGGCCTGAACTAAGGATGTGGTGAGCGAAGGAAGAACTGGGATTAGGTTGAACAGAGCTTATGTTGTTATTCTTAATGGCAGTGATGTGTTCAGAGAACCGAATTTTAAAGGAACGACCAGTTTGTCCAATGTAACAAGCTGGGCAGTCTGAACAAACCAGTTTATAAACTCCAGACTTGGATAAAGGAGGTATTGGGTCTTTGGTTTTGACTAAGATAGAATTTCAGTTGTTCTTGACAGAGAAGGAAATGGAAACTTTGAGGGGACGGAAGAGACGGGCTATTATTTCTGATATGGGACCAATGTACGGTAAGGAGAAATATTTGGAAGGGGAATCAGGGGTCTGAGAGAGGGTGGTACGTCTGGATAGGAAGTCTTTCAACATCATCTTACGGTGTAAATTATTGATCAATTGGGAAAAAAAATTTTACCTTTGACTTCCATAAAAAAAAAGGGGTTTCGAAAAAAAAAATTCGCGATTTCTCGAAAACGCGTCGAACGATCGGAACGAAATTCGGAACGGTCAAAGAGAACCGCCAAACGCGTGTACTGTATAAATTTCATCCAAATCGGCCATTTTGTTTTCGCATTGTAGCGAAAGTACGTTGTCGAAGTTTAAAAATCGCGTTGCTCCCTACACAGATCGCATTTATAGACCGATTGGAACAGTTCAACGACCGATACGTCCCAAATGTCTTCCGATTGGGGCCCTTTGGGGACCTTTAGTTACTCCGATTTTGTAGACGTTTTTTCGGAAAAAATTTGAAAGTGAAGTGTCGTTTTTTTCGAAAAAATATTAATATCTAGGCAATACGCTAATTTACGATGTCCATATTAGGTACCCTTATAGAGGACTTGAAACGCGTCTAACGTATAAATTTCGTCCGGATAGGATTATTAGTTTTTGAGTAATTAAAAAAAAAATTTTTTAATAAAAAAAAAATTATTATTACTATTATTATTATAGATTCATATAAACCCGAGTAAACGGCGGGAGTAGATGTAACTCTCAGTAAAAACGCGAGTAAACGGCGGGAGTAGATGTAACTCTATTTATAAACGCGGGTAAACGGCGGGAGTAGGTGTAACTTTCTTTATAAACGCGAGTAAACGGCTGGAGTAGATGTAAATATCTTTATAAACGCGGTAAACGCGGGTAAACGGCGTGAGTAGAGAAGACGGGCGATGTTTTTTTAAAAATTTTTCGTTTACGTCCACGCAAGTGAGAGGAAGTAAAAAACGTTCAACAACAAAAAGTTGTTACGACTTTTACTTCCTCTAAACGATCAAGTTCGGTCGACTTTCCCACGCGTCCGTCGACGGTAGGCCGACGGGCGTCGGTCCGAAGACCTCGCTAAATCGTTCGATCGGTAGTAGCGACGGGCGGTGTGTACAAAGGGCATGGACGTAATCAACGCGAGCTTATGACTCGCACTAGCGATTTGAAAAATGATGTCTAGTTCTTTCAAGTAAAGAGGTTCGGAAAGGTCAAGGGAAAGGAGTCTGTGAAAGAAGAATCTGAAGGAAGCAAGTTTGTGTGAGAGAGGATGACTGGAGTGATATAGTATAACATGGTCAGTGGTGGTAGGTTTTCGATAGATGCCGATTTCCACCCTCGAAGTGCCTCTAGTCAATGACAGGTCCAAGAAATTAATAGACTTATTAGACTCAATTTCTAGAGTAAATTTGATATTGGGGTGAAGAGAATTTAAAATTTCAAAGCACTGATTAAGCTCAGACCTGTCACCCCCAAAGACCACAAGAATGTCATCAACATATCTTTTGTAGAAACGGAAATGGGTTTTAATTTTTTCCCGTAAGTATACCTATATTCTAGACTCGTTTTTAACACGTTTTACAGCATATTGATAAACAAATGTACCATTTTAAAATGTAATTTTCAACCACCTTTATATTTATGTTCCTTTAAACTTAAGGTAGGTCACCTAAGGTTAGTCATTGTTTCAAATTATAATATTTCAGCTTGATAATGACCTTCGGGTCGAAACTATAGTCGCTGTCACCTAATGCCTTTAATCTAATACCTGAAATAATTAAAAGAAGTATGGGGAAGGTTTAATGTCTTTATCAATCCACTTAGTTTATATTTGTACTCGGTGAACTACTATTTTCTAAATTTAATCTTGCAATGCTAATTATTTGGATTAAATCTCCGTTTTTAAAGCATGTACTTGTTTTATTTGTATTCCTTACTTGATCCTCACTCCGACAAGCAGCACATATCTTGTAGCGACTCTTAAAAACACATCGTAGTAAATGGTCCTATTATTCGGTTATTCAAGTTAGGTAGCTTTGTCTAGACGATCACGTGCCATGGGGTTCAGTGAGTTTGGGAGGGAAAGTTTTGAATTTAAATCTTGAGTTGCGCAGTCTCTCGGAACTGGCCTGGGTACATCACAATACTTTACGCCGAACATAGGACCACAACGAAGAATTCTTGATAATGACCACAACGCCCAACGACACACGCCCGTATTTAAAAACTACCCTATGACACTGACACATTTGTGAAATCAATCTTGACCACAAACTTGGGTTTTCAGATCGTTGAATAATTTCGGATAATGTATTACATCGTTACAACGGTTCGTTTATAATAAAAAAAATTATCAAAGTCCTCGTGTGAGATCGAAGGGACTTCAGCGCATTTTTGTGTGGCAGATCAGTATTGTATTAGCCACTATTGACTCGACCATGAATAAAAGATCTTGTCGAAGGATACCACATTCCCTTTGACGGTACCCACTTCCGACGTCCCGTTCACCCGCAATTCGCGTTTGAAGATTTTTCTCCACCATCAGTTAGATCTTGTCGGAGGCTACCACATTTCCTTTTTCGGTGCATACTTATATTACACCCACATTTTGGTGGATCTCGCT